AGAGCCAGAGGTGAAGAGCTACAACTCCCATCATCCCTGACATTAATTGCAGTAGTAAATTTGCAATATGTACACAGAGTCAGTGTGTTGTAGTGGTTTCAGCAATGGACTGATCAGCCATGGAAAGACTATTGAATGACCTTGGGCAAGTCACATTCTCTTAGCCTCAGAGGAAGGCAAAGGTAAACCCCCTCTGAATAAATATACTGCCAAGAAAACCCTGTGATAGGTTTACCATAGGGTTGCAATAAGTCATAAACAGCTTGAAGGCACACAATAACAATACTTGTAAGCCTACCTAGAGTTATTTCTCACTGTAAAAATACTTTCTTGGTGGAAGTTGGGGCAGAGCCAGTGAACAAGAACCTGTTCCTCCTGTGTGAACTGACTGAGTGAAAGAGACCATGAGAACAGGTCTGACTAGGCTTGTGTAATTGCTTTGGCACAGTCCTTCCTGAATCTCACATTGAATCAGGCTAGATTCAATGACACTAAGGGCCTTTACAGACTGCCAGAAATAATGCAGCTTGAGGCCACTTTAACTGTCCTGGCTCAGTGCATAGGGAATCATGGGAATTGTATTTTTTCTGGGACATTGAGCATTCTCTGTCAGAGAGCCCTGGTGCCACAATAAACTACAGTTCCCATGACTCCTTAGCACTGAGCCAGGACAGTTAAAGTGGCCTCAAGCTGCATTATTTCTGGCAGTCTGTAAAGGCCCTAAGATAACAAAGATTAACATGATTCAAGGGGGGTGCAGATGGGCGGCCCTGGGCTGCCCTGGGAAGTGGAGGATTGGGGCTGGGGCTGCCCCATGCCTCGGCCCCAATCCTCCCTCTTGCCGGCCCTGAAAGGGGCAGCAAAATGCTGGTCCTTTCAGAGCCAACAAATAGGGTGCCCAAAGAGACGCCGTGCAGCTCTTCTGCACCCCTTCTGGCACAGCGCATCAAGACACTGCACCGGGAGGACATCCTGACAGCGTGCACCATGATGATGTCTTCGGGGAGTGGTTGAGGTGGCTGCTATGCAGCTGCCTAGCTTCCTCTCCCCATCCCTTCCTCCAGGACAGCCCAAAGGCCTGTCTGTAGAGGCCCTCAGTTTCAGAACAGAATGCTACTGTCTGAAGTGATTTCTTTTAATTTTAAAATCAAAGACTAATATCAACACACACAAAAAAAAATCTCAACAGGCAAATCATTAGCCAGCATGGCATAGTGGTTTGGGGATTAGACTAGGGCTCTTGAGACAAGGGTTCATTTCCCTGTTCAGCCATGGAAAACCACTTGGGAGAGTCACTCACTCATTTGGGAGAATTACACACTCACAGCCCCAGAAAACCCTATGATAGGCTTGCTTTATGGTCACCATACATCAGCAATGATCTGAAGGCCACAACAACAAAATCTAACATACTGTGGGCCCTTGGCATCCACTGGGGTTTGGTTCCTGGACCTCCATTGATGTCAAAACCTGTGGATGATAAAGTCCCATTAAATATAGTGGCATTGTAAAATGTGTCCTTTATATAAAATGGCAAAGCAAGGTTTGCTTGTGTGTGTGTGTGTGTGTGTGTGTATGAAATATCTTCAAGCCATGGATGGTAGAATCCATGGTTAGAGAATTCATTGATATTGAAGGCCAACTATATAATAACTATTACATAGATACAAAGATATACATTTTTATAACAACACACGGATTATTTTTTTTTAAAGCAGATATCTTTTATTTGTTATGTATCGATTCTGCCCATAAAGTACCTTTCTATATAAGTGTACCTTTCTGATTCTATTGCTTAAGGTTCATATATGTGGTTGATAGAAGGCAACCACTTTCTCAAAAGAGTCATCATTTGCTTGTCCTCTCACTTGTCTAATTTGATATGCTTGGCTAAGAGAACTAATATCCATGCTTTGTTATACCCATTATCTATACACATCTTTGAATTCTCTTTCCAATCCCTCATAATATATCATATTATTATATTATTACACACCCCCACACCCCCACATGTGATATGTATTATAAGCTTCTATCTAAACCTTCACTAGTGTGTGCAGGGGGGAAATTTTTAAAATGTAATTGTTTCAATCTGGAACTCAAATACCCTGAAGAAAGATGGACACCAATATCTGTTCAGAATGTACATCATTCTAAATTGAGACAATGGTTTTGACAATGGATATTGTAATTAATATCCACATGACTGGAGAACATGCAACCATATACATATTGCCAATCTAAGCCACATAAGAGAATAATGGTGTGTACAGCTGTAGACTATACATGGATTTTCTCTTAATGAGATCTGCATGTGTACAGATATCCAAGATGTGATTGATTTTACACAGGGGACATTGCCAAAAAAATGGCCAATCACTGCTAGCAGCTGGGGTTTGCCAGCAAAATGACATCATCTGTTTCCAGCTAAAATACACAACCATACACAAAAGATTCCCCACAGTAACATTTGAGAAACAAACCTTATTGGGACATGTTGCACTTTGTCAGATCCCACCTGCTACATGTTTTAGTTTACAGCATTTCCTTAGAGTTCCAAAAGATGTTCCATGTGCAGTGTGCAATGTCATATCTTAAAAAAAGGAGGGCTCTGGAAATTAAAAATTTAGGGTTATCCAGGGAATGAGTGAGTTTTGTCTAAAATTAGAACTGAAAGCGGAATAGCAGGAAGGACTTAAAATGAAGATCCTAAAGAAGTAGCTTATCTGTATACTGCACATTGTAAAGCCGTATGTCTAGGTTATTATTTCCCAGAAACTGCACAATTTATTTTTTGGACTACAGATTCCAGAAATCCCTAGTTACAGTGGGATGACCACTGTCCATGCTGGCAGGGGGATTATGGGAGTTGTGGTACAGAAAGGTAACTGTCCCTTTCAAGCTTAAAGAAAGATAGTTTACTGGCAAGGATTTTAAAAATTGAACTGGAGACACCAGTTTTGTGTGATGATCTAAAGAAAGAATGGGAATTATGCAGCCTTCCAGACGTTGCTGAACTGCACCTCCCAGCAACCTTCACAAACAAATGACCCACATATAACAAAACAACTAAAATTCATACTGCAATGGTGGTATGAAAGGGCTGCTCATATCTGATGGCTGGTGCAATTTGAAGGCAGAAAGCCAGGAAATGTGGATAGCAACTCTCTTAGGCAATTGGTCTCTTCAAGTAGCCTCATATAAATTTTGCTTCCCATTGGAAGAAAAGATAATAGTTGACATTAATATAGTTAGATCCATCTCTGAATGGATAGATAGAGGCTGGAGATGGTATAAAAGCTATCTCTGGAGACATGAGAGTTAAATTGTGATACCACCCCCAGCAGGTGGACCTAACTATCATGGACAACTCTTATGCTGCTGATACTGTTCCTAGCTGATTAAAATCATTGAAATGCTGGTACAGGAGAGAAAGGGAGAAGCTCTGCTCTCAGGATTAAATTGTTTATAGTAAAGATAAATTTATTCTCTAAATAGATAAACACCTGTTATAGAAATAGGTAATGTGTACAGCAAGGTTTTGCAATGCCAAGTTGTTTTCATCCACAGATGATGTGAGATGTGGTTCCATAAGATCATACATGAAATATATTCAGTGATAAGCTGTGTGCCTAGACCAGGCCTGCACACCATATGGCCCAGGGGCCACATACAGCCCGCCAAAGAATTTCAGGTGGCCCGCAAGGATGTGGGACAACTTCAAGAATCCTCTACTGCTGGGTTTTCTCCTGAGGAGAAGGCCAGGCAGAGGAGTAGAAGGACAGGCAAACACTTGCCCTGCATGTCTTCTCCATTGCCCCACTTTCTCCTGAGGAGAAGGCTGGGCAGTGGAGGAGGAAGATGGGCAAACACTCACCCAGCAAGGCTTCTCCGCTGCTTGGCTTTCTCCTGAGGAGAAGGCTGGGTGTTGGAGGAGAATGGACAAATGCTTGTCTGCAAGTCTCATCCACCACCCTGCTTTCTCCCAAGAAGAAGGCTGGGAGGTGGCAGAGGATGAGAATGGCTGAACACTGCCCTGCAAGGCTCTTCTGCTGATTGGGATGGGCAAACAAAGCTCCTCTTCCACGTCACTTTATCCTGAGAAGGCCAGGTGGTGGAGGAGGAAGAGGAGCAAACATTTGCCCCTCAAGGCTCCTCCATCACTTGGCCTTCTCACAAGGAGAGGTCCAGGCAGAGGAGGCGAAGGACAGGACAAAGCTCCTCCGCTGCGTGGCTTTCTCCTGAGGAGTGGGTTGGGCAGACGAAGAGGAAGATGGAAGAAATATTAATTAATGCTAATTAAAATTATTAACTATTATTAATTAATAAATATTTAATTAAAACCTATTTTCAGCCCTAAGAAGTTTAGCCTATTTTAATTTTGGCCCCTACCTACAGCCAAGTTCTGCAGGCCTGTCCTAGACAATGAGATATCTGTGTTCCTTCACAAGGGGAGTGTGTATATGCGTGCATGTGCACACACACACACACACACTTCTTCTTCTTCTTCTTCTTCTTCTTCTTCTTCTTCTTCTTCTTCTTGCGTGCCTTCAAGTCATTTCTGAATTATGATGATCCTAAGGCAAACCTATCACAGGGGTTTCTGGGGTGAAGAGTGTCCAACACATCCAAGGTCACCCAGGAATTTCCATGGCTGAATGGAGAACTGAATCCTGATCTCCAGAGTCATAACCCAATGCTCAGATCAGTGGACTACACTGGCTTCCTCAGTATATTTATTACTATATCCATTTTTAATAAAGTAGCCTAAAAGAATTATAAGGTGAATGGTCATTCTCCTATATTTAAATTCCTGAGTTTACAAAACTTAAGAAGGTTTAAGTGGGGTGTTGATGGTAAATCTGCCTGTTTGGACTATATCATTGGTCATGGGCCCAGAGGATGATGAGAGGGACCTCCAGATAGAAACAAATTGGCTGGCAAACAGCAAAGAACCCTCAGGGACTCAGTCTAAACAGACAGGGGTAGGAAACCACTCCTTTTCATTTCACCACAGGCAACTCTGGCTAGGTTCTCTGGGAGTTGCAGTCCTACAACATCTGAAGAACTGCATAATTTCCTCCACTGGGGAGGTATACACACACACACATTTATTTGTTTTTGTTTTTGTTGTTGTTGTTGTTGTTGTTGTGAAGGGGAGAATTGTCTTCTATATAGTTAGGAGGCATTCTTGAGACTTGTTCTCTGAGAAAACATACTTAAGCTTGCAGGCTCATCTCTAAAGCTCAAATTATTTGGCAACTTTTAGGAGAAAAAAATGGGATATGCAAATTGAGAGTCCCCACAGAAACATCTAAACACATTCTAATGGTCCTGGGTCCAGAGGCTGGAGGAACGGCCATTTATTCCTTGCCCAAAAACGAGTTAGTCATAAAAAAGGAATAGGAATTGCATATGTTAATTTATATGAAATTAAATAATTTATAATTTATATGTGCATTTGGTTTTCTGTATATGGCCACATACAGAGATATAGCATTGCTGTACACCAGGAATGAGCAGCTCTGAAAGGCTAGCAGCCGCATTAGCTCCCAGGAAACCTTAGAGGGCTGCATCTGCTAGTGCAAAAATAAATAAATAAAATTATCTATTTTTCTTGCTCTCACATGATGACACCAGGGCATAATTTTCACCATTTTGGGTTTCAGAAAGAAAGAAAAAAAAAGGCCTCTCCTAGACATATGTAAAATGTAATACAAATTCACCAATAGGCTCTAGTGGACATTTTGAAGTATGGGGGGGGGGCATTTTTTTTTTAAATAAATGTCAAAATTGTTTTTGACCCTTAAGAAGCCTGGTGGGGATAACTCCAAACATGGTGGAAATGATTATCACTCACCCTACAGTGTATTTGTGCACACTGAACAAAATAACAACAACAACAACAACAATAGGGAAAATTATACATTTCACTCCTGGGATCACAAAAAAGCCCTGGGGGCCAACTTTGCCCATTGCTGGTAAACACAGATAGCTTCATATGCTGAGCAGCCAACAAATGATCATCACTGTCAGCTTTTTCTCAAAGTCTTTCACTCTGCATCTAATGGTGAAAAAAGAAAAATAGTGCTGTTAAAGTTAAAATTATTATGTGATGTATATTGTGTTCCCAGTACTATAGTGGGTGTCCACCACTTTCTTCTGCCCAGATTCTACAGATTCTGTCATTCCAGCCAGGATGAGATGGAGTGATAGGAGGTGTGTGTGACACCATATGGGGGAAAACTTTCATGCATTATCACTGCTGAATC